TATTCAAAGAAAAATTGGCTGAAATTTCCAAATTTGGAAAAAGACATAAATTCACAGTTTTGAAAAGTTGATTAAATCCTAAATTAAAGAAACTCAAATAAATTCAGACCAAGGCACATCGTAAATAAACTTCTGAAAACTGAAGACAAGTAAAAAACATTGACAGTAGCTAGAAATAAATGGTGCATTACCTGTAGAGGAACACCGGTTTTAATGACAGCAGATTTCTCATTTGAAACCATAAAGTGCAGAAGGAATTAGTGTAGATTTTTCAGATGCTGAAGGAAAAATGCTAACTATTAATTCTATATTTAACAAAACTACTCTTCAAAAATGAGTGTGCAATAAAGATTCCCTCAGATAAATAAAAACCAAAAGAAATTGTCATAGCATAGCTATACTTAAAGATTGGCTAAAGGAAGTTTTCGAAACAAAAAAAGTCATTAAAATAAGAGCCTTGAGTCCTTTGGGGGAGGGGAGGGAACAAAACAACGTAGAATGTGGAAATAAAAGTACAGTAAATTATCCTTCTCTTTATGAGTTTTAAAAATCATATGTAATGATTAAAATAAAATTTATAATAGCAACTGATCCTTAAAACAATTTTATTTTAAAGTGAGGAAGGCAAAAGGACCTAAATAGAAGTAAAGTTCCTACACTTCAAGTGGTAAAATATTGAAACCAATAGGCTGTGATAAATCATTCCCAGAACGATCACTATGAAAATCTCACAGGGCAATATATTCAAGAACACTATAAATAAATCAATATGAAACCCTGAAAAATGGTCAAGTACCATACAGCAGGTCAAGAAAAGGGAAATAGAAAAAGCAACAGAAAACAATGAAATGGCAGAGTTAAGTCCTAACAGGTTAGTAATTACCTGAAAGTAAATGATTTAAATATACCATTAGAAGGCAAAAATTTACAAAGTGAAAAAAAAAGCAAGACCCAACAATATGCTGTGTGATACAGTTTACAAGAAACTCACTTCAAATTAAATGACATAGGTGGGTTAAAAGTATAAGAATGGAAAAAGATATACTATGTTAATATAATTTTTAAAAAGCAGGAGTGGCTATGGGGATATCAGATAAAGTATATTTCAAAGACAAAAAAATGAGGAAAAAAGAGGCACATTTCATAATTATAAAAAGATTAACCTGCTAGGAAGACATAATGACCTTAAATGTATGTGCACTAAACAACAGAGCCTCAAAATAAATAGAACAAAAACTGATAGAACAGAAAGGAGAAATAGATAAATTCATGGTATAAGTGGGAACTTCATTGTTCCTACTCTAAGCAAGTAATAGGACTGTCAGACAGAAAATCAGTAGTGATATAAAAGGATATGAATAAACAATCAGTCAATAGCATTTAACTAATATATATAGATTTTTTCTTCAGTCACCTGTGGAATATTTTCCAAGGTAGATTCTATCCTATGTTATAAAATAAACCACAAAAAATTTGGAACAATTTGAGTTATTCGAAATCATACAGGATGTATCAAACTGGAAATCAATAGCAGGAAGAAAAAATTCTTTAAGCACTTAGAAATTAAGCAACAAAATTCTCACTTCCAAATAATTCATGATTCAAAGAGAAAGTCTCAAAGGAAATTTAAAAATGCACTGATCTGAATTAAGATGAAAGTATGATATTTCAAAATATGTGGGATGCAGCCAAAGTGGTATTGAGAATTAAAGTTATGCCATTAAATGCTTTTATACGAGAAAAGAAGAAAGCCTGTAAAACAATAGTAAAAGTTCTTACCTCAAAAAATTAGAAAAATAAAAGCAAAATAAACCCAAAGCAAGCAGAAAGAAGGAAATAATAACGAACAGAAATCAATGAAACTTATAATAGGAAAACAGAAACCATCAATGAAACAAAAAACTGATTTAAAAAAAATCAATGAAATTGATAAACTGGTTAAAAAATGGACAAAACTAAAAAGGGAAAAGATACAAATCAGGAATGAAACAGAAATCATAATAGATCTTGCAGCATTAAGGGATTGTAAGGCAATACTGTAAACAACATTATGCTCATACGTTTGACAGAAACATGATCATGATCATGTAGAAGATACAAGATCATGTAGAAGATATGATCAGTATAATCACTCAACATGATCAAATTGACTTATATAGAACATTCAATCCAATAATAGCAAAATATCCAATGTTTAAGAAAAAAATGGACTAATCCCTTGAAATTTACAAACTACCAAAACTCACACTAGGAGAAACAGGTAATCTGAATAGTCCTATAAACAATACTGTAATTGAATTTGTAATTCAGAGGATTCAGAAAATTAAATCTCCAGGTTCAGCTGATTTCACTAAAGAGGTCTACCATATATTTAAAGAAGAATTAACACCAGTTTTACATACTCTATTCCAAAATAGAAAATGAAGAAATATATCCCAACTCATTTTATGGAGGTAGTATTGCACTGATTATAAAACCAGACAAAAACAGTACCAAAAAAAAAAAGAAAGAAAAGAAAAGAAAACTATAGACCAATACCTCTCATTCTCTCATGAAATTAGAAGCAAAAATATTCAACACAATATTAGCAAATTAAAAAAAAAAAGACAAGTGTGATTTATCTCAGGTATACAATTCTGGTTCAGTATTTGAAAATGAACCAGCACAATCTACCATATCAATAAGCTAAATAAGAAAATTATATTGCTATACCAATCACAGAAAAGCACTTGTCAAAATTCAACATCTATTTATGATAAAAACTCTTAGCAAGTTAGAAGCAGAGGAAGACTACCTCAACTTGATAAAAAAGCAGGTTCAGCCTGTAATCACAGCACTTTGGGAGGCTGAGGCGAGTGGATTGAGCCCGCAGGTTTGAGACCAGCCTGGGCAACCTGGTGAGACCTAATCTCTACAGTAAATAACAAAAAATTAGCTGGACGTGGTAGTGTGGGCCTGTAGTTTCGGCTACTTGGAAGGCTGAGGAGAAAGGATTGCCAGAGCCAGAGCCTGGCAGTTCATTGCTGGAGTTGCTGTAAGATAAGCGTGAGTGTGCCACTGCACTCCAGCCTGGGTGATGCAGTGAGACTCCAACTTAAAAAAATAAAAAAAATCTACAAAAAACCCTATGGCTACTATAGTTAATGGTGAAAAAACAGAATGCTTTCTCTCTAAAATAATGAATAAGGCAAGGATGTTTGCTCTCACAATTCTTATTCAACATCGTGAAATAAAAGACATATTTACTACAAAAGAAGAAATAACACAGTCCCTATTTGCAGATGACATAATTGACCATGTAGACAAGCCCCTGGAATCTCCAAAAAGAAAACTAGTTACAAGAGGTGAGTTAAACAAAGTCTTAGGACACATGATCAACACAAAAGCCAATCATATTTTCATAAGCTAGTTTTCAAGCAAGTGGCACATTTTGCCTATTACCAGGAGTAAAAATCAGGACACAAATGCCTGCTACATTCTGGTATTAGAGTTATTGAGGAAACACAGTCAAGCACTAGATGAAGCAATGCCCTACTAATGTACAGCAAAGACAGAGTAAGAGCAGCTCTGTAGTGAGTGTTGATCCCCATGGACAACAGGGCCTCTTGGCTGCAGACACAGAGCAGTTGGCTGCATATGGTACTACTATTGTGCTGTACCATATACAGCAGAAGCTTGTCCTCTTCCGCAAAAGGCAATACAGCAGTGGAGGTGGCTAGGTGACATATGATGCACAAAAAGAAGCACACCAAAGTATACACATGGAGTCTGAAACAGGGAAAGATATTTCCACACAAGGTGACAAGTCCAGCATAGGTTGTGAAGACTCTTTATCTCTCAGGAGGGAAGTGCTCTGGAATGGAGGAAAGACCACTCGCATGAGACTACTTTTTCCAACACTAACAATGAATATGTAGAAACAGAAAATTTAAATAGCTCCGTGGGTGAGGTGAATACATAAAAGTATTTCAGAAAGCTCTATATGTTTGCAGACCTTACGTTTATTTCTAGCAGCCTAGATGCTTGGGAAATATGTATTACAAGATTTATTTCATGCTTTTTATTGTTTATCAAGATTTATTTGCACATATTTTTAAAACTAAGGTAAAAAGTATGCAGCTAGAAATGGTTCCGGGAAAATACCACTTATCCTGATAAGAACACCAGAAGGGTTGTTTTCCTGTGAGTCCTAGATAGGGCATTGATTAAGGAAATAAACACCTGTAACAAACACTGTTGCAAATCAAAGAGCATTGAACTTCAAAACTGAAACAGTGAAAAAAAAGAAGTTTTCCATGTAAATAGACACTTCCTCTATTTTTTTCATATCTCTCATTTACTTGTCTCAGAAATCTCGAGTAACAACTGAAATATTTCCCTGAGGCATCGTTTAATCTATTGAGAAAAAAATAAGATAGAAATCTTGATTGTATTAGTTTTCTCAGTGTTACTCATACAATTGTGGGTAAATTGCTAGTCATCAACAAATTGGGGATTATCTCAAAAATTCTGAAAATTTTCAGAACATGAAGCAGACACACACAACTGTTAATTGGAAAGCATACATGCAAATTTCCTCTGTAATTTATAATAAGAATGCTATAAAAAAAGATAGAGTAACTTAATGTGATGTATGGAATTATTTTAGCTTAAGCATTTTGAGGAAGATTACTTGAGACTAGGTAATTGTTCCCAATGTATATATAAAGAAGTGCAATAAATTTTTAAAGAAAATGTGTTTATCATAAAAATGCAACATCATTATCAAATTTAATAACATAAAATTCCAACATTTTCTGTTTATAAGGTAAAGAATTTGAGATGCTCGTCAATTCCCAGGATAATGTATAAAAATATTTCCCCTTTCATACCTCTTTTATCCCTATTTTTAATATTTCCCTTATGATTTGAAGAATCATACTTGAAAGAAAATTATTTTTCATGCCCACAAGGGGGACCCTTTGCACCATAGCAACAGAGAAACAGCACAGGTTTTACTGCTAATATACCATTTGGTTAGATTCATGATCTGCCATAAAATACCAGAAAGTTAAGTCATTTCCTGTTTCCTTGGCCTCACCTGTGAATCCAGGCTGACAGATACAAACATAACCTGAGGCTTCATGGTAGCTGAATGAGGAAGGCAGCCCAGCAAGGCGTCCATGTTGTTTCTCTGAGGACAGCTCCACACATTCCCCATTAGACTGGCAGGGGTTACTATTGCATTCATTGATGTCGATCTCACACTGGACACCTGTGTATCCTGCAGTATAAAAGTTCAGAGAAGCTGCTGAGTCAAAGCTATTAAATTGTAGATGATATGCCTGAAAGGCAGCTGACTACTGTACTGACATCAAGCAACAAGTAGATGTGCCTGCCCTTAAGAAGCTAGCAAGGAGAACTTGGTAAGAGAAGGCTTCTATAGAAGCAAATAGTAGCAGCAATGAATCACTTGTATAATTTTGGCCAAACATTTTTTAGAAAGACTTCATTAATAAGGCTTCGAATAAAATGAGACACAGGATAACCTGGATTTAACCTGAACATTTTAATGCAGGGCTCCAATTTTGTAATTATTGTTCATATTTTATTTAAAAAATAAATATTTTTCAAGAGAATAGCTGAAAAGTCAGTAAGTATCCACATAAACAGACCCAAATTCATCCCATAAAACTCAAATTAAAGGTAAGTGATTATTTCCTAACAATGAGACAAAATAATAGATTATATTTGCATCGACTTAGCTGGATCATTTTATTAAAACCAGGAATAAAAACAGTACATCATAAATGATTTATTACTTTGTACAAAATTAAAATATTAAATATAACTAAAAGTTTTCTACCTGAACTGTTTTTTTGCTTTTTGGCAACTGTAAAAAAAAAAAAAAAAAAGTTTGTGCATATTTGTGTGTGTGTGTGTGATGTGTGTGTGTGTGTTTTAACAACCGGAATCATACATCCTTCTGCCGCTTGCTTTATTCTCTCACTTGCACAATCTGTTCATGTTAGTAATAGAGATCTAACTCATACTTCTGTTTTTGTTTTTTTTGAGTCGGAGTCTCACTCTGTCGCCCAGACTGGAGTGCAGTGGCTGCTCCCAGCCACGGCAGTCTCGCCTGCTGGGCTCCAGCGATCCTTCCGCTTCAGCCTTCTGACTAGCCGGAATTACAGGCATGTGCTACCACACCCAGCTGATTTTTTGATTTATTGTAGAGATGAGGTCTCGCTGCCCAGGCGGTCTCGAACCGGCGGGCTCAGGCAATCTACTCACCTCAGCCTCCCAAAGCGCAGGATTACAGGCTGAGCCACCGAGCCTGGCTAACTCATACTTCTTAATTACTGCCATGTATTCCAGAATGTGAATATGCCATAGCTTAACCACTCTTTTATTGGCTTTATATACATTTTTTCTATTACAGTGTTGCAATAAATATCATTATAAATGACTGTTTGTGTAAGTGTTTGAGTATAACTCTAGGGTTTATGCTTAGAAGTGGTATTTATGAATTATAGATTATGAACATTTTTTATTTTAATAAAGACTGGTGAACAACTTGAAAGTAGTTGCATTGTATATATATTACCATTGGTGGACGAGTATGAATGTGGCTCCAAAGCCTTGCCAACTATTACTATCACCAAATGCAGAATTTTTCATAGTTGGTTGTATTAAAAAATAATATCTTCACTGTTGTTTTGGTTTACATTTTCCCATTACTGTTGTGTTTAACAGTTTTGAACATTTTATGATGATTTAATATCTTTTTTCTGTTTCTTTCATTAGATTGCTTTTCTTATTGGTTTATAAGAGTATATACGTATTGCTTGTAGGGCTAGTCCCAAAATGTAAATTTCATGGGATGCAGATATAATGCTGATGGATAATGGGATGTCAGTTATTTTGTGAGATGGTAAAAGAGATGTATAAAGTTTTCTAATTTTTTGGTATGCACTTATTTAAATTTTTTATTTCAAATATGTGGGGTACAATTCAGGGTTAGATGCATAAAGATTTTAAAGCAACACAATTCACTTTTGTGGTATCACTTAACTCTGCTGAGAAATACGTTTCTAAAACAAAAGTTACAATCCAAAATTATGAAACTTGTAAATCAAATCATAGTATTTCCTTACTATAAAATCATTAAGTGGCCTCCCCTTTCACATAAGATAGAATTCAAAATCCTTAATATGACCGAAAAATTCCCTGCATTATCTGGCTCCCTTTTCCCCTGAAATTTTCTATCTCACACCATGCTCCCTCTTACTCCTCTTAAATATTTTCTACCCCAGGGCCTTCGAAATGCTGTTCTCTCTTCTAGAAGACCCTCCCCCAAGCTTTTGCTTGGCTAACTCTAATTCAGTTTTTAGACTTTACCTTGTATTACTTTTTCAGACTAACTTTCCTTCATGGACAGAACTAAATAAGATCCCCTTGTTTTCTCTCATGCCACCAAATTATTCTCTTTCATTGCTCTTATAATAATTTTAAATTATGTACTTATTTGTGTGTATAGTTCCCTCCCTCAGCAGACTGTAAACTTCACAAAAACAGAGACTGTGTTTATATTTTTTAACCACTCCAGTACTGAGCAATATGTAAACAATAGACCTTCAATCAATAATACTAATCAGTGGTTGAAAATAGCAATTTAGATTATAATCCTAGTTTAGTACATAAACCAGAGAAGTGACTATTAATAAGCAAATAATGAGACTACAATATGATTGCTCATTTTGTAATTTTAATAAAAACCTGAATGAGGTCATATATCAAATCATAACCACAATATAAATTCTGATGCTCAGAAGTATTATATATTTATTACATATGACCCTTGGTGCCTTTCTCAATCATCTAAGGAAGAAATATACAGTAAGAAAAAAAAAGGAACTAAAAGAACACGTCAGATCGAAATCCCACAATCCTTTGAAGTGATCCCCTCCCAGAGACCCCTCAAAGTCTCTTACACTTTAGTGTCTACTTTTTAAATACTATTATTTCATACTTAAGGTTATACAAGTGCATTAAATAATAGTTTTTACAACAAATTTTATAAATTGGTATTTGTTGAGCTACAGTGGACTTATTGAAGAATGCTTGAACTATTTTCAATTTTCTACTCATTCTAAGATTCAAGACTGATACATAAGCCAGGTTAGGAAGTAATTTAGAACCATCATAAATCCTTTTTTGCTTTTCCGACTCATGCATTATCTCATTCTAATCGTGAACATTAGGAAGGTTCTTGATTTATAGTCTTGCCAATCCTGCCTTACCACTGAGACCCTGTGGGATTTTCTTTGCTGCTCTCTTTAACCATGCATAAAAATAGACTCCTTCAGTCAACAATATATTCAATAGTTTAAACAAGTTTTTCTACAAAACTTTATATGAAGAAACAATATGATACTAAATCAAGTCCCCAAGGTTCTTCTCTTGTTTGTTTCTAAGAAATTCAATCACATCTGAGCATCAAGAAAATTTTAAAAATGAGCATTTAGGCCAGGTGCAGTGGCTCACACCTATACTCTCAGCACTTTGGGAGGCTGAGACAGGAGAATTGCTTGAGCCCAGGAATTCAAGACCAGCTTGGGCAACATAGTGAGAGTTGCCTCTACAAAAAATAAAAAAATCAGCCGGGCGTGGTGGCATGAGTCTGTATTCCCAGCTACTCTGGAAATTGAGGCAGGAAGGTCACCTGAGCCCAGGAGTTCGATGGTGTGGTGAGTTGTGACTGGGCCCCTGCACTCCAGCCTGGGTGACATAGTGAGACTCCTACTTAAAAAAAAAGAAAAGAAAAGAAAAGAAAAAACGAGCACTTAAGGTGACTGACACTTCTTGCAATTAATTAATTACTTTTGCAGTGAGAATCCTCGGCAATTACAGCAGTGGATTCTTGTCATTGCGTTATGTGGTAGTGGTTCCATGATCCAAAGGAATGGTCTCCTTTTCTTTGACATAGTTTGTAGTGTTAAATCTTCTCATTGTATTAAAGATACAATCACCATCTGTTCAGCAACCCAAGACAGAAACCCAGAGGCAGAACTGTCCTAAATCTGTACCCTTACAGCCCATATCATTTCCAACTCCTCCATGACTCTCATAACTAACCGCTCCCTCCTCTACACCCAAACCACTGTCGTCTTAGATCTGGTAAACAGGCTCATCTCTTGTTTGCTGTAGAATTCTCACGTTAGATTCCCTGACTTTAGCTTTATTTTCCTCAATCATCTTCCACTAAGCCAGAGAGCTTTCAAATCAGCAAGTCAGATTATGTTACTTCTCTGCTCCACAGTGGTCAGGACTGACACACAGCTTTGCGATCAGGCTTCAGTTTTTGCTCCCCAGATTCATCTTTCTACCACCAGCATTTTCGAACAATCACTCAAATTCCACAGTTGGACATACTTTTTTCCATATGTGGCTGCCACCCTTTGTTGCTTCTTTCTTAATCTCCTTCCGTTCTTCTTTCCTTAAATAAGTAATAGACTACTTGATTTCCTCATTTTGACATTTATTTAGTGCTTACTATCATCTAGGCTAAGTTAGGACTTTTACATACATTACTGGATTTATCTCTAAAACAACTCTATGATGTGAATATTATGAATGAGGAAACTGAGGTTCAGAGCAATAAAGTAACTTGTCCAAAGTCACATAACCAATTAGTATATTTCTGGAATATACTCAGTCATTTTTCAGATTTTCCAAAATGGTGCCTCTGATCAAATCCCTTCTTCTTCCCTTATTCTCTTTTAAATAATTTAGTAAGTCTCTCATTGCACCAGTAATTGTACTATCTATATTTTGGCACATGTCTCCCTACAAAAATTTAAGCTCATTGCATGAAAGGACCCTGCTTTTTTAATTGCCAGATCTCTGAAATATATAGTTGACACTGAAATCCATGAATGAATGGAACATATACTGTTTTTTGTTTTGTTTTCTTTTTAGAATCAAAGGGTACATATACATGTTCACTGCATGGGCATATTGTGGAGATTGGTTCATTCCCCAGATAATGAACATCATGTCCCATAGTTTTTTTGTTTGTTTACTAGTTTGTTTTTTTTTGTTTTTTTGTAAGTCTTCTTAACTGCCTGACTTCATTACAAACTCCCTCTCTCATACATAATTCTCGCCTCATAGAGTGAAACTTGGTATATAGTAATAATTGCCTTTTTTTGAATGCTTAATATGTGCCAGGCTCTATTTTTATAATTTTGTTTTTCACAACAGTACTACAAGTAAAGTATTTTTAACCCTCTTTTGCAAATGAAGAACTTAAAGATTAAGAGGAAACTCACTCAATTCACTCAGTTAATAAATAGTGGGCATGTCCTACTTCCAAACCATCCACTCCACTCTCTGCTTCTGGATAAAGACCCTTCATGAGTGTTGGCTGTGGACAAGAATGTGGGACATCTTTTGGAAGACTTTCAGTATTTAAATCAAGTTGCTGACCGAAGGATAGCAAGTATTCCCTATTCATTATCTGGAAGTGGAAAGGCATGACATGTATAGATTTTTAAGCCGCAGAATTCCAAACTTCCACTTATGTTTTCAGTTTTTTTAAACTACAAACCATATTTAATTAAAGGTGTTAAATGTTCCCTAGGCAATAGGGTATCTTTCAACCAGAAGCTACTACTTATTGGATTGACTCCAGTCTCCATGTTTCTTTTCCAATCACAGATTTATTCTTTTCTTAGATCATAAAATGAGTAGGGAGAAAGAAGGAGACAGATGACCAGTAAGTTTATAAAAGTAGACCTTGAATAATCATTAGCATATCATTAAGTAAGTATACTTACACATCATAAAGTAAGTATACTTACACAAACTTAGATGGTACAATTTACTACATACCTAGGCTATATGTTCAGTTTATTGCTCCTAGGCTATAAATCTATACAGCATGTTACTGTATTGGATAGTATAGGCAATTGTAACACAATAGTACGTATTTGTGTATCTGAATATACCTAAACTTAGAAAAGGTACAGTAAAAATATGATATAAATGATAAAAAATGGTGCAGCAGTATAGGGCACTTACCATGAATGCAGCTTGTAGGACTGGGAGTTGCTCTGGGTGAGTCAGTGAGTGGTGAGTGAATATGAAGGCCAGAACATTACTTTCCAGTACTGTAGACTTTGTAAACATTGTATACTTAGGCTATACTAAATTTATAAAAACATGTTTCTTCAATAATAAATGAAACAACTTACTGTCACTTTTTACCTTATAAACTTTCTAAATTTTTAGACTATTTAAAATTAATACTTAAAACACAAACACATTGAATAGATATGTAATATTAATTTCTTTTAATATATCTTATTCTAATAAGTTTTAATCTTTTTTTTTTTTACATTTCGAACTTTTTTTTAAAAGCTAAGATACAAATATACTCTATAGTCTTGGCCTACACAGCGTCTAGGTCATCAACATCACTCTCTTATACTCCCACATCTTGACCCACTGGAAGTTCTTTAGGGGCAATAACATGCATGGAGCTGTCATCTCCAGTGATAACAATGCCTTCTTCTGGAACCTCTCTCAGTGGCTATGACCTGTTAGCCCCACAATCACGTGAGTAGTAAGTAATGCTACAATGTTGTGATAGCTATGACATCAACAGGTAACAGGAAATTTTCAGCTCCGTTATAATTTTTTGGGATCACTATGGTAGATGTGGTCTGTTGTTGACCAGAGGTAATAATGCAATAATCAATGATTGTCAAGTAGTTTATTTACTAAAGTTAGCATCAATATTTACACGTGACCTATAATTGAACACAAGCATTACACATTGTTCTTGTATTCTCTCTATACTCAAGTCTAATTACCCTTTAAATGTAAATTTTAGTTATGGTTTATATTTAATTAACTCCTTATTTACATTACAAATGCCTAAGAGAATATTTCTGGAATATTATTCTACATCTTCTATAAGCAACATTATTACCATGTTGGCTGACTGTAAATTATAAGACAAGTTTCTAGTAGTTTAATATTGTTCCATGTGTTTCTATATATTCCTGATGTCTAAGAGTACATCTTAGAGAAAAAGAAAGCATATTCTAATGAATTTTTCTCCACGAAGACTCTGCTAAATTTCCTCTTTCCATCAATTTTATTCCTCTCTATTTCTCCTAGAGGGTTTGGATTATTGGGCAACTTAGCAACTACTTTAGACAATATGTAGTATAGCAGTAAGCATGTGTGAGCACTGAAGAATAAAACTAAACTAAATCAGGATAACTAGAACAAATAATTGGTTTAAAATATTTAACAAGAATTTTTAGTTTAATTTGCTGTAAGTAATGTTTCTATTCTAAGCAAAAAATAAAAGTTGGTGGAAGGTATTTTGTCACTTACCAGGCCAGCAGTGACAAGTGTAATTGTCAACACTATCCTCACATGTAGCATTATTGTGACAAGGTTTTGACCAACAAAGAGGCATCAAGATTTCACAGTGTGTCCCTGTGAATCCACTACCCGTGCAGTTACAGCTATATCTGGAGAGTAAATGAAATTTTCACGTCAACTCTTGGTCATATTGAGATAAGATATTTTTATACTGTCTCTTCATCTGTCCATCAAGCTGAGACTAACGGCACAGTCTTAATAACCTCAAAAACTCTGGGGAAAAATCTCTATAGGACTGACTGTATTATGTGTTTCCATATTAATATCATTATTATCTTTTTAAAAATATAGTACAGCTTCATGCAAATTTCTTTGAAACCATGATTATTTACTTCAGTTTCTTCATAGATTGAATACAATAGTACCTATGTCACAAGGTTATTGTGGTAATTAAATATGCATATAAAGAATAGACATAGTATGTTGAGTATCTAAAGGTACAAAGGGGGACCCCAAAAAACCCAGAATGTATTTATTAAAAATTGTGTATTTATTCTTACATTTTAAACCCCAGTCACCTTCACAGTACTCTCCGCTTGATGCAATACACCAACTGAGATGTTTTTTCCACTGCTCAAAACCGTTTTTGAACTCATCAAATTTGATGCCTTTTAGTGTGTCTGGTGTTTTTTGTTTCACCTTTTCCACCTGGGCAAAACGTTTCCCTTTGTGGACATTTTTCATTCGGGGAAGCAACAAAAAAAGTCGCTCGGGGTGAGATCGGGTGAATGGTGAGGAGTAGGGGATGGGGATCATGTTGTTTTGGGTCAAAAACTGCTGAACACTCAGTGTGGGCAGGTGTGCTGGTAACTCATCCATCATGAAATGGTCAAACGCGTTGAAAGAATCTCCAAAAAAGAAAAAAAATCACTGAAGCCGAATGCAGCCTCTTACAACAACACTACCTGGCACACTGCTAATAGGTTTCTAGAACACTTACCTAGTAGAGGAAGACTGTACTACAAGGAGCCTGCCCTCCAAAAAGATAATTCTGGGTTTTTTGGGGTTCCCCAATACTACATACACTTCTACTAAACAGTATTAAACAAAATCAATAATATTTTTAAGGCAGTAGCGAGTAATTTATACCATAATAGGACTCTTCTATATAGAGAGCCCATTAATAAGGTCCCTTATGAAAAATGAAATAATGAATTATGAAAAACTCAGAAAAAGCCCTCATTAAATAAACTGTGACTTATAATGTTCTCTTACTTTTAGATTACAAGAATATTTGTCTTGATAGTTCTAATTATTAAAGTATTTACTGACTGAGTGGAATTATATGGCAGTCCCAAAATATAAACCTGATAGGGAAAGGTGTTGACATTATTATTATTAAGGAGGGGGCTTTTAATTTAGGTGGAATCTCTTCGAGGATTGTAAAAAATGAATCTGCATACTCAGCTTAGATAAAATGATGGTCTTGGAGACAGGTTACCTATAATTTTATAAAACAGAGTCCTGTTTACCATGACTATGTGAGATTTATCACCAAAGCAAATGTTATAACTGACTATAACTTTTATATGAATTGCTGGCTAGAAATCTTCTATTCACTATTTCATATGTTTAATCAAAAATACTTACTAAAAACCGACTATATGTTAGACATTAAAAACAAGAACCCTGTACTCAAGGGTCTTGGCTGGCTGGCTAGCGGATCTTAGTTCATGGTTAGAAACTCCATTTGTATAACTCTTTTGTCTGCAAGAACCTTTTTTCCCGTTTCTGACATTCCCATTTACCTCATAGCAAATGTGTTAATTTTTTGTGGGAAAATAAAGTTAGGTCATATCAGTTTGATCTCATTATTGTTTTCTCAAAATTTAGGGAATAAGAGAAATAATGGTAAAATGGAAAGATTATTCAGGCATATTAAAGTGAGGGGAACAAAAGGTGGCAAAGTTTTTGCCTTACTTTGTTTGCATTGATATTGGAATCAAAAACTTTGTGTAATTTCTGGCCTGGTGGTTTCTGGAGGCAGTAAAATGTGGAGAAGAGGACCTCTTTCTTTTCCTCAGGAGAGCTTATGCAGAACTTTCATTCTGGTCTGTCTGCCTCTTTGTTAACAAGTAACCTGTCTCCAGGAATGTAGATTTATGCCATCAGAGAATTGTTTGGATACAACTAAAAATCAGAGACAGGACATGAAATATGATTAAGAGTTATGTTTTATATTTTACAGAAGAAATGTACAACCACACTGTTCTATTTAAAATTACGTTATTTTGTTGGATATATGTGAAGCCCATGTGCCTTTTGTTGTACTCCTTTTGACTCTGATTCACTTTGAAATTAGATTTGGGAAAAATTATGCTTTCTTTACTAAATAAAATAAAATTGAATGCTGGTCCTCCTTTTGCAAAGAATAAAATGTGTGAACTTGTGGGAGTCTTCTCACTTCTTTATTCCTAGACTCTTTATTGAAATATGGAAACATTAATGCTTATCTTGGCTTCCTCTGTGCTGTTGAAGGATAAAAGAAGATAATTTTAAGTGACGATATCATTAAAAATGATTATGCATTTGGCAATTCAGTATTATGGCTTAAATGTGTACTAGAAAGTTTTTTACAAGATATTTGATATCAACAACTAATCCTGAATTGTACCCCACATCTTTAACATTAAAAAAATTACATGAACTCAAATTACTGTTACACAAATTTATTATATTCATTGAGATAAAATTTATTGAGATAAAATTTATTGCTGTTCTTTTTTGCCAGAAAGCCAACGATAGACTTCAATTTGCAGCAGAATCACATAGCTACTTCTCACCATATGCTTTGTCAAAAATAGTCACCCAATTCACTAAACCTATGGGAATTCAATACAAAATATAATATCACTGCTCTTTTCAATGCTAGTTGTATAACATTTCTAAAAGATTTACTGTTGTCGCTTGACTGGCCAATGGAAGACCTGGGTTCTTATTCTAGTTTTCATATATATGTGTGTGTGTGTGTGTGTGTGTGTGTGTGTGTGTGTGTGTGTGTGTGTGTGAATATATATCTAGTTTAATATATATTCATATATATATTATTTTAAAGATGTGGGACACAATTTAGGATTAGATATAAAAGCGGACATCATACAGGTAAGGTTTAGGCCTCCTTTTATTCCCCACTTTGCCTGGTTTCAGATCAGGTATGCTTATTGATATTATATAGATACAACCTTATATTCACACAAGGGATAATCTCTAGCTTTGTTTTTGCACCTTCCCTATCTATTTCATGGAATTGAAAAGTTGGTACTTTTCTGTAATCTAAACAATTCTAAACTGTCGCAAGAAAAATCTGAATCTTAAGACTTTTCATCAAAGTATAAATTAATCGGAACATTTTAAACTGAGGATGTGAGATCTCTAAATTCACCAGAATGGTACAATAGTTCTTGGTCAATGAATTCCATCTAAGCCAATCGCCCAGTGTAAGAGGAAACGTACCTGTTTTCTCCGTCCACACACAGCCCTCCGTGGAGACAAGGCTGACTGGCACATTCATCAATGTTGAGCTCACAGTGATCCCCTAGGAATCCAGAGGCACAGTCACAGATATAAGCCCCCAAGGTATCCTGACAAGTTGCACCATTTAAACAGGGCTGGGACCAACATTCATCGATTTCCATTTCACAGGTTACACCTTTTTAAAAAAACACAGAAAAACACAAGTTTTACACCTTTTTTAAAAAGCACAGAAAAACAAAAGTTTTAGCTAAGTGTTAATATTTCAGCTATTTGACAATGCTTTATTTACCAAAGCACTTGTCAAATGTCACATTATCCAAAATAATGTTCTTCCTTAATCGTAATTGATATAATTTTGATGTGCTTGTGGGAAATTGCACAAAGCTGAGCAGCTGTTACTTACAAAGAATCATTGCATACAACAGCTTGTGGTTTGTTAGTCTGTGGAAACAATTAAGGCCTTTTTAGAACAGTTATTGGTAACTGCACTTTTGTTGGAAGCCTAAATCGGGGCGGTCAATGTTTTTTCATCATTTTTAAACACTTTGTTTAGTTAGGCAGCATATAGAATAGTGTGCACAGGCTCAGACTCCAAAGCTGGACAGCTCGGAATGAGATCTTGGCACAGCCCCTCCTTAACTTTGTGATCTTGGGCAAATCTTAACTTTTCCATATTTCAACTTCCTCACCTAGTAAGTGACAATAGTTGTAATTATCTTATAGGACTATTATGATAACTAAATGTATTCTAAAGTGCTTATAATAGGACCTGATACACACAATATTTTCCAGAGGGGAAAAAAACCCACTTATTTTTCCACAAAAAATCTGTTGTACAAATGTGATATTCAGTTATTTACTTAAGTGCTCCTTTAGCATAGCCATTTTTATTTTATTTTAATTTCTATTTAGTGTTGTAAAAGCTACTTATAAATATAAAATCAGTTTTTGACTTAAATGTAACGTATTTAATGGTATAATTATTAGAAGATACTTTAAAAAAATCTGCATTTCCCTCCCCAAAATAGTAGATGAAGAGGGCTAAGAAAAATAGGTTAAGATTTATGAAAGTTACAGTCACATTGAGATAACAAACTATCTTACTGACTCTGCCAAAATAATGTTTAATATACAATAATCAAATTTGCATACAAGTTTTAAAACACATGAAAGGTGAAATACCTATACTTACTCATCTTTGTTTCTGTGCCTGTAACCCAGAATAATAAATTAAATATTAAAATAATATTGAAGGATATTTAAATAGCTCAGAAATTATTAGCAGTTTATCTTGTACCCTTTTTTCCTAAAAATGCAGTAAGACATGCTAACATTATTATTTATAACAGTTACTAGATTTTACAAATACCCAACTTAAAAGGGATGCTAACATCTTAAATTTGATTGTTGTTTGGAAAGAAAAGGAGCTAAAAATTAAATTTATATCAGTAAAAATAGAAATGTATGCAGTAGCATCTTTTTCTAGGTAAATGGCTTGCTCTTTGAGGGTTAGTTATTTTTTATCTAACTTGTGAATGAAATTTCTATCTCTGTTTTACTGGGCATTAGTTAGAACAAAAGAAGGAGCACTGAACTGGCCAATGGAAGACCTGGGTTCTCATTCTAGTTTTCAGATATAGTGTGTGTGTGTGTGTGTGTGTGTGTGTGTGTGTATACTTTCATATATTTACATGAATATATATATAGTTTCATATATATTCATATATATATTATTTTAAAGATGTGGGACACAATTCAGGAGGTATACAAGTGGACACCATACATGTAAAGTTTGGGCCTCCTTTTGTTCCCCACTTTGCCTGGTTTCAGATCAGGTACGCTTATTGATGTCGTATATCCCCTTCCTCCGCAACCCCGGCAGTATCCCACTACTGCCAATCCCTTTCTTATGGTATTATGGTAAATGTTCAGGGTCTGCTTATGAGTGAGAACATATGGTACTCTGTTCTTTGTTCTGTGATAAATCACTGAGCATTGTAGGCTCTAAATCCATCCAAGTTGTTGCTAAGTCCATAATTCTGTTCTTTATGACTGGGTATTATTCTATCATGTCTATGTACAACATATTTAAAAATCCATTTCAGTTTTGATGGGCAACATGGTTGGTTCCATGTGTGGCGATTTCTAAAATAACTAGAAATTGTCCTTCCATATGACCCAGCAATCTCCCTATTGGGAATATACTTGGAGGAACTCAAATCGTTCTACAAAAAGATACTTGCATACGCACATTTATTGCAGCACTATTCACAATAGTTTTCCCTTTTTTAATAGTCTCTGTTTTCATCAATGTTTCAATATTTTTATTTCTCCTATGTAAAACAAGATAATAACTGATACCTCTTTCTATTTTTCAAGATCGTATGAAAGACAAAACGATAAATCCTCAAAACAGTTTTCATATAATTATCTTCAACATATATAGGTACTATAGTCTGTAACAATCATAATATGCAAAATTACTACTCCTAAATTGACACTATTTGATCATGACTTTAAGCAGAGTGCAGTATGCTCATCCAAGAATGTTTGGTCAACATGAATCCCCATAGTGCTCTCTGTGCAGTGGGAAACTGGCACTTATTGAACACCTACCATATACATGGGCAGGACAAGGTGATTTCACATGCGTTCCTTTTTTTTAAATCCCGTTCATTTAAGATACGTTTTTCTAAATAGTGAAACTCAAAGAGCTTCACTGACTTTCTTGAGTCCCTCAGCTAGGAAATGATAATATTTCTGCAGTTCTTGTCTCCTCCTAGTGCAGTTCTTCTACCAATTAACTTTTTCATAGTGCCTTTTCCTATGTGATATCAGATTATATCCTTCAATATATTAGCCATCTATATTTGCTGGGAAGTATTAGCACATTAAGTCAACCCAGTAGTTTAAAATGTGTTAGTGTTTTTCTAAATTCTATTTTTTATAATTCAAACAAAATCTGTATATTCATTGATATAAGACTAGATTGCTTTCTAATGCATAAGAAATACATGATAAACTATTATTTTAAATACTGCAGCTCCATTTATGTGTTGCAATTCAAATACTTTGCTTTAAAGTGGTCCTGATGCATATATAAGAATGCATTTGATAGCATAAATAAATTGAAAAATTGCAATATTTGAATTTGTTTGTGTCATTCTTAGCATTGGTAATTTATTTGTATTATTCTTGCTACTGCTTTCCAACATGACTCTTATTATAGTTTATGACTGCTACAGATATAGACAAGAGTGATTTTGTCTATGTCTGCATTATGCCAAAACAACCAGATGACAGGTAATACGTCCAGTTAGTCATACAGATGTTTTTGTATTTCCAGATATTTGGATATATATAAAACATCTGAATAAACAACTGTGATTTTCATTTTCTTTTCTTTTCTTTTTTTTTTTTTTTTTTGTTTTTCTGAGTTGGAGTCTCACTCCTCGCCCAGGCTGAAGTGCAATGGCATGCTCACTGCCAACCAGTGTCAACCTGCTGTGCTCTGGTGATCCTTCAGCCTCAGCTTTCCAAGTAGCTGGAACTACAGATTTGTGCTACCAAACCCAGCTAATTTTTGATTTATTGCCAAGATGAGGTCTTGCCAAGTTGCCCAGGCTGATCTCGAACCCGCAAGGCTCAGGCCATCCACTCGCCTCGATCTCCCAAAGTGCTGAGATTACAAGCTGAGCCACCGAGCCCCGCCTGATTTTCATTTTCATTTGGATTCTTACTATCCAGTGCTTACAGCCATTCGAGACATATAATTAATCAGTCTTCAGAAAAGTGCCTGAACTGAGTGATCCACTTAGAGATATTGATTTTCTGACAAGTGTTATTAAGTGGGGCATCATGTCATTATAACTCTATGTATCAATAGAAACTGAATGCAGTTACAATGGGGAGCATTTTGTGGCTGGATCTCTAATAAATCGAAAATTTTTAACTGTAAAATTATTTCACAATAATTCACCCAGGAACCTAATATCTCTTGGAATTGGTTAATAGTTCTGTATGAAACAAAGAAAATAGAAAGGATAGTGGGGGGGCAGGGAGCAATACAGGATGAAAGGAATTCTTATCTTCAAAGAAAAATGTATAGGATAGGGAAAAAGAAAATATTCTTCTGACCTCCTTAGCTTTGGTGACTCACTATAACAAAGACTGCATCATCAGGTGTAACTGTGACACCTACACATCAATATAGGAGAACTAAGATGCTAGACTGTAAATTCTTGACAGTCCACTCTGAACTACCCAATTTTCACTAACTGTGAAATGAATTTCAGATATTTTCTCACAATCAAATCATTTTCAACTTATTCAAAGAAGAGTTGGAATTAATCTCAAGTATTACATAAAAGGGTGAACTGACTAGGGGTTCCTAAGTTCAATGACTTTAGTAAAGAAGAAATATCTCTGAAAAATAATCTGAGTGCTATTTTTCTTCTTATACAAGACATAATTAATTTAAGGTAAAAAATCATTCCATCTTATCTTGTTTTCTTGACAATGCACTCTCTAGATTTCCTTCTTGCTGCTTGGCTTTTTGGTTCAATTACTTCTTCCCTTTCCACCTCTTCCTGTCTCCTTTACTCTCTTTCCCTTTCTTACTTGCTACATCATTCTTCTTTTTCTTTGGGATAGTTGACCACTTCTCAGAGATTCTTCAGAACTGCAGGACCTTTGTAGGAGCTTTTTAAAAATTCTCACTTTAGTGTTCTAAGCTGAGATCTCTGCTGGCAGCTTCTTTGACATTCCCTCCCTCATCTATGACAAGCATTGTCCAGGCAGGGCAGCTTCATGGGTTTCATGGGCATGCTGCTTTGCAGTCACCTAGGGCCCTGAGCTTAGGTACCTTGTACTCATTTCCTAGTGATGCTGTAGTAAAGTACCAGAGACTCAGGGTCTTAAAAACCAGACATTTATTTTCCCACAGTTCTGGAGGTTAAATGTGGAGATCAAGGTGTTAGCAGGATTTGTTCCGTTTGAGGGCTGCGAGGAAGAATCGATTTCATGCTTCTCTTCTGGTTTCTGGTGGTTTTCTGGTAAAGGTCTGTATTCCTTGGCTTGTAAAAACATAACCCTATCCTGACGTTTGCCTTCATCTTCACGTGTCATTCTCCCTGTATATGTGTCTGTGTCCAAATTCCTCCTTTTATGAGAATA